CCTTCTTTGAAGGGTGAATATGGCATAAATGTCTCTAGTTCTGATTTCGTTGTTAGTGATTTTGTACCGAACAAGATAATGGGTGACTTACCTTTCTGGTGAACAGTACTGTTCCAGCGGCTCTGAGAAACTGACCGTTTTTGTTGTCTGAACATTTTGATTATAAAATACGCTACTTATAGGTTTTTCGTTAATACCTTGCTTGGTGTAGGCGTTTGAGGCAACGGGTTATCAGGATGAGGACTGGAAAAGGTGAATCATTGTTTTGGACATACAGTCGATGTAAATCACCTTATGTGAGTAGAAGCTGCAACTTGAGTCTCGTTGGGAGTATTACTGCAAGCCTCGTCCTTCTCATGTCGGCGACTCCTTCTAGGGTTGCATGGTTTGCATTTGTAGGTCTTGAAGCAAAATAATTATTTATGTGTAAATCAACTCTGTTCTTATACTAGTGGAATATAAAAGTTAGTTTCGCACCCTAGGCATCTTTCGTAATCTCTTCTGAAACTCGCGAGCATCCTGTGAAAATCCGAGAGGGTCCTGCAAAATAAAAGCGAAAAAAGGAGTTTTGCCACAACCGATTTGGGTGCAACCTCTGCTTTATTCAAAAGCTTTTAGGATGCAAACATTAAGAATTCACTCACTGGTAAATTAAGCATCTCATCTCGGCAAATAATGCAGTCACACCATCCCTAAAACATCAATGTACTAGAATCAGCTGTAAGGATGAGATGTTAAGTTCCCTTACAGGTTGTCCAGTCGAACGTAGCCATAACGACTTTAACAATGAGAGCAAAGTGCGCGATTTTGTCATCTCTGAAATCTCAGTGAAAACTGCGAAGAAATTTTTGCACAGAGATACATTGATAGAAAAATTAAAGAGAATATGGAGCAGGAAATGATTGGGCAGTACATTACCGTGTACGCAAGTTACAATGTTATTACGTGAAGTCGGGATAATGCGTGTGCGACCTCTTACCCTTGAGGGTATGTCCCCAGTAGTACAGGGAAAGGTGTAAAGACTAAATGTTGCTAATTGGCTTGATTCGTGACAAATTGGCGCGCCGTTGTCAAAGGTCACCTCATGGCCAGAGGCTAAACTCCAAAGTCAAGAATGTTTTGTGAAATTACAAGTAACGTTTATATTTAAACAATAAGGCTGTAATCACTAATTCTGCCGTTTTGAAGGTCGTAAAAAGTTAGATACTTTGGACTCTATTAATCAAAGCTACTATGCATCTTTTGATTAGGGAATTTTATTACGTATAAATTTGCTAAGCAAGTAACACTAATTATAAATAAACGAGGTGCAAAAAATAATTTTTACAGCGGAATAGTTAAGCAAGACCTTTCACTTCCACAATATTCCAACATCTTGCCTCTTTCTCCTAGGCATCAGTACGAAGATCTCATTTCAAC